ACTGACTTCAAGAATGCCAAAACTCGTGAAAGCCGTGATCAAGAAACAAGTGGCGGTTATGTCGACGAAACCAAAATATAAAGCAACATTGCGACTTTTATCATAAATCTGCCGTTTCACTCGACTTACGTGTGCCTTATAACATCGAATACTAAATAAAATAAAAAAATTGAATAAAATGAAAATAAAATAAAAGAGTTGGATTTCCGTAATAAATTTGCAACGTTTTCTCATAATTATTCCACACGGAGTAGGTGTCCTAATACTTATGGCCGGCAGAGGTATACTTTTTCTCAATTTTAAAATACGACAATTTTTCTTTTAACGCTATTCATTGTTCATTTTACGATACATGCATCTGTTTCTATTTCGAAGTGAATGTATCGAGAAGATTGATACTAATGACGGTATTGATTCTAATTTCAGTGGCAGCAAGGGATTAACGGACTTTACGAGACCGGATACGCGATATCGTTGGTCGCGTTGCTGCTCTCGTTAGGTATTCTCACCTATTTCCGGTGAGTCGATGGCGGATTCGAATCGAATCCACGCCTTTTTTCTCATTTTCCCTAGTTTTTCCATTAAAAGAAAAGCTCGTTCGAGATGGAGTTACGGAGATCAATGCTAGCCTGCTTCGAGAAACCTCGAAAAACTGTCAGGCTGCAAATTTATGCACATAGTATGTTTACCAATGCAGAATAAACACGGATCATGTCTGATAAGATTTAACTGTCAGATTATTGAATATGTCAAATATAAAAGTAAAATAAGCTTGACACTATCACGAATGAAATTAATATTGTTCTCTTTTTTTATACAATTCGTATAATACGTATTTTTCTGTGAAATGCTTGTTAATTTATTGGAACAAATATTGAATTTCTGTGAATATTCAAATTTATAGAAATTGCAGATTTTTTCAAGAATTTTCATCAAATCATTTTTCAAACATTTAATCTCAATATTAAAGAAGGTATCTTTTATCACTCCAAATATTCTCATTTTCTAGTATTCACAGAAAAACCACATTCGCTGGAAAAAACACTATAAAAATTGTTTAAGAAAGTAAAATAATGTTTCAAAAAATGTGTGTCTGTTAACATTCCCATAAGTGATTACATTCTTGAAAAGCTCTTTCGCGAAGGTACAAAAGAATTTCATCCGAAAGACGTCAAAAAGGTGGCAAAAGACTTTTAACCCTTTCCAGCCCAATGGGTTTAAATGGACATTTTCTATTTTTACAGCGCACACGTTGCATTTATCCTCCGATGGTAAATATCGATAAGAAAAATGTAACAAAAAATCCGGAAGAAAATAAATTTTTCTTTAACGAAGCTTGTATAATTTTGGGTTAGAAAGGGTTAACAGTTTCTGCGCGCTTTTATTATCCGTTTGTTGAATGCAGCTCTCTGAGGTGCGCCAGGATCACTCTTCATATGAACCTGTTCGCTTCGTTCGCTGTAAATAACGCGCTGTGGCTGGTCTGGTACAGATGCATCGTCGCGAACACGGATTTACTGTTGAACAATGGGGTACGTACGAGGACCTGGTTCTCTCTTCACTCTTTACTTAGCTCTCGACCCAGTAGTTCACGCGAGAATTTCGTCTCACGGCGTATCGTTTGAGTAATTATAGGCTCTCTGAGTTGTGAATTTTATCGATCAATAGTGAAAACGAATGATTTCCCGTTTTTATTTGCAATATTTTTAGTTTTATTTATTCAAATACACGAATAGAGTAATCATTTGGTATACGAAGATAAATGAGCGTTATCGATCGATCTTCTAAAATTGTGTAAAGAGTTACCAAAAACTTACGAAATTACCGATCATCGATAACAAAAACGGATAATTTCTCTTCTTTATTTGTAACAGTTTTATTTTGATTTATTTAAATACACGGATTTCGTCTCAACGCGTGTCGTTTGGGTAATTAAAGGCTTTGACTTGTGAAATTTATCGATCAATAGTGAAAACGAATGATTTCCCGATTTTATTTGCAATATTTTTATTTTTATTTATTTAAATACACGAGTAGAGTAACCCTTTGGTATACAAAGATAAATTAGCATTACTGGTTTAAAAGGTAGATAATGGATCTTCTGAAATTGTATAGAGTTGTCATAGCTAAGAGGCACGATATGTTTCTTTTCTTATTTAAATTTTCACAGTTGATATCTTTGCTGAATATAGAATTAATATTATACATGGTAGGAGGACAATAAAAGCAAAGAGAAAAGGGAATAGAATGCAATAAGAGAAGGAGAGTAGTAATTTGCAAATTCATTGATCCCTTTAATAATGGGTAACAAATTTTTTCAGATTTTCTCCTTTTTCAAAAAAAAAAATCATTACAGCTCATGCTTTTATAACAATTCTTTTTACACCAGTTGTAATTGGAGAATTTGGAAATTAATTAATTCCTTCGATAATGGTTAACAAATTGTTTCTCAGATTTTCTTCTATCTTCGAAAAGATTGTTCTTTCCGTCGCTCTAACAGCCAGAGATGGAAATTTCCGGATTTCTTTGAGGGAATTCTTCTTATCAAAGCGAGCTATCTTAATAAAAACAGGCGGTTGAACCTTTAAGCGTCTGTAGTCAAAAAACGGGATTACAGTAGCGTGCAATTCCAGTTCGTCAAACTCTTCTCGAACAGAACTATCACTGTATACGATAAAAAGGCGACATTCCGTTTGAACAAGGGATCCGGAAACCTTTCGAACGTTTTCCCTAGCAAAACAAATGTCACCGCGGTATTACCTTCTTCTCTAAACCGAGCATCCTTTATAAGAACAATTTTCTCTCGTCTATCTTCGAAGGAAATTGTATCACTTCGCGGGAAAAGTATAAATATAATGCTTACTTGCGTTACCGTAGACTTCATATTTTCCCAAGAAATTAAATTTAGAGAAGAATTTAAAGATAACGTGTATAAAAATTACTTTATGTCGAATTCTCTTGTTTCAGTCGCGATTTCCTGAAAGGTGTTCTCAAAATTTATGCAACTTTTTTGAAAAAACCATAAGAGATATTAAAACCAAATTTTAATTATGTTTTCTGTGAGTAGATAAAAGAATTGATACGGAAGTTTTGTTGTAATCTGCTTCGTTCGTTACTAATAACATTTTATAATTGAAAACATTAACAAGGAAAATAGAGTATTTTTTGAAAAATTATATTTTTGCTTCGAAGCAATATTTTTCAATTCTAACATAGAGATATGCGTGAAAGGGGCCAGAGAACGCGTGGAAAAAGTTTCTAGAAATGATCTACAACGGTAGCTGAAAGAATAGTACATAAAGTTAGCAAATTTAACATTGTTAAAGTCCAATCTTCTTTAACCCTTTCGTGACCGGTGGAGTGTACATAAAATTCATCTCAATTTAATATCAATTACAAAAACGCGACGATTAACAGATAAACGACAAATTCTTTAAGCAAAATAATTCGGTCACGAAAGGGTTAATACGAGCTTGTAATCACAATCACGAAATTCTACGAAATGTTCAGAAACATTTTAGAGAGAATTTAGACTCTTCCCCTTCGAATTTCCCTCTGTAACAATTGAAACTGTGTAACAAAAAGCCGCGGAAATTTTCAGATAACGTGTCGCCTATTGCACATCATCCTGCACTACTTCCTACTCACTAATTACGCCTGGATGTTGTGCGAAGGTTTTTACTTGCACACCCTACTCGTTAGCGCTTTCACAAGCGAGCACAAATTAGTAAAGTGGCTGATGGGCCTCGGCTGGCCAGTGCCCGCTGTCATCGTTACGATTTATGCCTCTTTGAGGGCGACCAGCGATGATCCTTCGGACACCGAACAGTAAGTACCCGAATAATTGACAATTCAAATAGAGAATATACCTTGCGAACGTTTCGATCTTGCAAATTTTCAATTACGCTCGCGTTAATGCTCCGAGCTTCTCTTGCCGTTGCTACTTTCGTCGAGAAAAACTCGTTTCGTTATGGGACAATATCGATCGAAGTGGAAAATCAGATAAAAACGTAAAAACGAAAGACAGATGAAACGATCGAGAGATACGAGAAGGAAGATGTGTAAAGAATTTGAAATACGACGTTTAATAAAGTTGTTATGTAAAACATTTTTTTTTTTTTCTGGAAGAGTATAATGAAATATCTGATAGGGAAAGGATGATAAGATGAGATAGGGGAGATTTGAAATGAAATTTCATTCATAGAACACGGAATAATCTACGATAATATTTGACAAGGAAATGATAAGAAAATAAAATATAGGAAATTTGAAATGATATTTTGCTCGTTTAGGATACGGAGTAATTTTCAATATTAATTTACCATTGAAGGTACCGAAAGAAAAACAGCTGGAGTTAATTGTAAATGAAAAACAAAGAAGTCGAACATTAATTGGTGGAGATTTCAATGTTATCTGATATTGCATGCAAAACTTTCGTTTTGCTGCTCTCGTTTACAAAAATTTTCATTTTTAATTCAGTATCGAGGAATGATAGGCAAAAAAACAAGGAATATACGAGGAAATTTAAAATCCTCGACCAGCATGCGTGCCTTCCTCCGCAGTGGAAACATTAACGATTAATTAAACGTAATTTTCAAAGATACCTGCCATTCGTTCGATATACAAATAAATTACAATATCCAGACATTTTTCGCGTAACGAACTGTTCGATATTCTTCGCGAATGAAATATTTACACGCGGATAAACCGAAAAATAGTTGAAAATAATTCGATTGAAAAATACTTTAGTGGAGGACTAGATGAGAAGATGAAATGTACTTAAATACAGTTAATAGGACAAATCATGCTTAGTTGAAGCAAAATGAGAATGGCCCCTAGAGGCATCGTTTACCTCCAAACTTCGCACGTTTTTCAAATTTCTGTCGCGAGAACCGCGTACAAACTTTATGAAAATCAGCCGCAGCGTGCGTCAATCGATAAGTACCGAAGTGAGCTCAAAGAGAACCACAAAACTGCGGCAGCCTGGCGAGCACAGCTGCGAAAATTCAGCGACCGCTTGTCAAATACAGTCTGCGCGAAATTAACTAGCATCTCAAGGTCACCGAGTGTTGAACCACTCGTTGCAAAGTGCAGAAAATTTATCTCAATGTTGACAAACTCGTGAAACTCCTTTTTTTTTTAATTCTACACTTTCGTGTATATTTTTCGAGGACACCAATTTAACTCGGGGAAGGAAAAATCGTGACATTCAAGTGTCCATTTAAATTTTACACGAGATAACACTTATTTAAACGATTTCTTAGTAGAAATCGAAACGTTTCTATATTTCCATCGTAAATAAGATTGATAATTTCAGTATAGATTCAGTATCTGCAGGTCTCGTTGAAAAAGCATCTGCATTTCTCAGCTGTACGTTAATTTGCATGTGTATTATCTGCATTTGTTTGCTCTCGATTACACATGCTTCATATACTTCAAATGAAATAAAAACCATCGTCGTTTAAACATTTTACAGTTATTAATTTATATTCTCCTTGAAGAATCTTTAAAAATATTCTCCTGTAAAAAACGTATTCGTTGTTACCGACGGTGATAATAAAAGAATTCTACCCTGTAAATTAACAATTTTTATCAGGTTTCACGATTAGGATTGTAATAGGTTTTTAATTTTGGTCAAAAATAGATATTAGGCAAACATTAGACTGGTTCGGTATATCAACAATGATATCACACCAATAGGTGTTGGATCAACGAGGGAAACTACATAAACGTGCTAGTTTATCCAGTCTGCGTTTCCACCCTGTTGAATCTGCTGTTTCTTTTCAACATCGTTCGAGTTCTATTGATGAAGCTGAGGGCTGGTCCCACGATTGGCACGCAACCATCGAGGTCTATGCGTCAAGCATTTCGGTAACGAAATACTTATTAACACACACATCTTTTCTTACCTCTTCGTTCATTTACAGAAGTAAAATATGATTAGAGAGCAAATTTCTTTATTCTTTCCCTTGTAATAAGTAACACAGGTACGCACACGCATGCTTAAAATTAATGTGAAAAATAACAACGAAATACGAAATAAAATATTAGTTTCAGTTATGAATCTCAAATTTGTAAATAAGTAAATTAGCATAGAGTTTTACACTTTTAGCCTTGTAAAAGTTACATACATCCATACGTGTACAAGGTGAGCTTATAAAATGTAGTGCTTGCTTTTTGTCGTTACAACTAACTAGAAGGATATTTTTATTGAAAAATAATTTCAAAATTTTATATAATAACAATTTGGTAAACGTCAAATTTTGTAGGCAGTCCTTTTAGTGTCGACGACGTCAGCTGGTGCCATTTGCACCCTTCTAATGACGTCACTGGTTTCAGTAGGATATAACCGATCGTTATCTTTTCTTATCAGAGCAACGCTTCTTCTCGTGCCTCTTCTGGGTCTACATTATCTCGTCATCCCCTTCAGACCGCCGAAAAACCATCCCTGGGAGCAATTCTACGAGGTTCTATCCGCCATAACGGCCTCATTCCAGGTATATAAACGAGTCCGCATTTCTTTTAGCCCCGGAGAAATCGTTGAACCAATATTTCTATTCACCTTCTAATCAATTCTCGTCACATATCTTCTCGAATTCCTAAATGCATACCAAGAAATTAATAATCAATCAATCTTGAAAGGGTGCAAGTCTAGAAATTCTGATCTTACAGAAATAAGAGAGAAAATTGTCGAATACCAAAATTATGAAATATCCTGCAAAGTGTTTATTTACGATTATTTTGAGAAACTGATTTTACACGTGTTTAAACGTTAGCTCGAATTAATTTGTGGATGAATAAAGAGATTCCTTAATAAACTTTCTGCGTGTTAAAAAAAATTGCACATCTACGCTTATTGCATTGTTAAAGGAAAACGATGTTAAGAATAATAATAATAAGTCATTCGTTACATAGAAATAAGGGATATTTAAGACAAAAGTAATTATACCGCGAAATAATATTAAAAAAACACTCGAGTACTTTTTATTCGATCATTTCTGTTTTCATTACTTGTAACCTACCAATGTAGAATTTGATCATAAAATTCAATGGGTTCCTCTGGGATGTATTGTATTACTTTTTCAATGTCCTCAAATTTTCTCAGTTTAATCGAATTCCCTGCTTCGTTAAAAACCAAGGAATTTGCTTTGTGAATATCTTCAATTTTTCTCACTTCAATCGAATTTCTCCCAAGGAATTTAAATTATTCAACATACTCTGACACCGTCGCAAAATTAATTGACCAACGTAGAATTTTATTCGAATATCATCTCAACATTTTAAATATCTTCAATTAGTTTCTACATTAATCCGATTTCCTTCTTCGTTAAACCCAAAGGAATTTAGATTGTCCAACGTACTATTGTACCGTCACAAAATTGTTTTCTATAAAAACAACGCATATCTACCAAAAAGTTGGACACGTTCCCGTTTGAATAACAAACGGTTCAATTATAGATAAATATTTCTTCACAGGGTCTCTGCGTGGCCATTTTATTCTGTTTCTGCAACGGCGAGGTGAGTAAACGTTGTCCCAATTAACTGAAGCACAACGAACAGAGAAATCTCTCCATTGATAAACGTTGTTCTTGCTTAGGTGATCGCGCAGTTCAAGAGGAAATGGGAAGGAACGGCTCTTTTACGAAATCGAGCAAATTCTTGCACGGCAACCACCGTCTCGGTACGGCAAATTCACAAGACATAGAAAAATCACGGTTCCCGTAGAAATGTGAACGCCTTAAACGGGACACCATCATCATCCACACGTTTACACGTATTTCCATTGTCCAACATTTGTATCTTTTTACCTCTTTTCAATTTCTGCCGTAATTTTTAATACTCGCGAATGTTCACGCTGCGTATTTTAATTGTTCTAGTCTACGATCGAATTGTTCCTGCTTCTTTTTTCTTTTTTTTTTTTATTGTGCAACGTAACGATTATCTTAAATCGGTTGAACCCGAATGAAAGGTATAATAGTTACAACCAATTCTTTTTATTCGATTGTGATTGTAAACTATTCGAGAGATAAGGCTCGTAAATTGTTAGATTTACTCGGTAAACTGTTCTTAACTAGTTCGTAGTAAAACAATCGAGTTAAGAGTTTTACAAATTTTATTCGATTCTTTGTAGAAATGGTGAAAATTTGGAAATATTTAGGAAAATTCGGAAAAATTCTTCAGCTTCGAAGAGCATCTGAAGGATCGATGATTTTGTGATACAGAGATCATTCAATTGTGAAGTTTTAACAAAAAGAAAAGAAATACGAAAAAAAAATGGTGAAGAAGATTATCCAACTTTCGGAAATTCTTCTGGAATTCTGCAAAGAATTGGCCGAGAATTTTCGTGAAAATCTACCTAATTGCCTGGGGTCTGTAATTTACGGGAAAACCATGAACGATTGCTTGATGAATCGTAAGAATTGCTTTGTAAATAGCTATTCGTTTTAATTGTGTTGGCGCTGGATCGGGTGCACGATTATCCTCGATACATTTTCGAAATCTGTCCACGGATAAGAAAAATCGAGCCCAAGAGACGAACAGGATTATTGCAAATGATCGCATGATATTGCAGAAAGATATTAAATTTCTGTTGGTCGCATGAGTTTAGGCAATAATCGTGATTTACTGTGATCGTTATGTCTGTACATACGTTATGTTAATGCTTTTGGGATATTTGTAAATGTTACAATGTTACAACAATGAATTAACACTTTTGTCTCGTCAATTAACTGCTAAAATAAAATTAATGGAATTATCGATCCTGGTATTGTATAAATGATTACTATGTACAAATTATTCGAGATAAAAGTGAAACTTCACACCGGGTCACAATTGTCTGTAATCTTGTGAGCATGGTAAAGCGAAACAGATAAAGAATAAAAGACGAATTTGCACGCATATTTTGCTAAAACTTTGCACGAGAACAGTCCTGCGCTTTTTCGTTCATTTCTTCGGCCAGATTCATTTTTCGTCTAGAATTGTATTTTATTTGGACAATTTTCTGTTCTGTCCTTTGCAGTGCTGCGGTAACTTTGATATCAATTCACATCGATCGAAGACACGATCGAGAGGGATCTTAAGGGAATAATTTTTCAACATTTTTGATAATCTTATATACAGAGTGTCCCGTTTAGACGAACATTTAAATGATTTCGCTACTGTTGAAAGTAAGGAAAAAGGACTAAAAGGAGTTCAATTCGTCTACGTTATACATATACAAAAATATGACAATAATCATTAGAAGGGACTTTTTTTTATCATGATCAGATGCACGAATTAGAAACCATATAAACTCGTCTTGGTAATTTTTTCTTACTCTTAACAGCAACGGAAATAATTTAGATATTAATTAGAAATGGGACACCCTGTGTACAATATACAATACGTACAATAATATGTATATTACTATTTATTTTCACATGGATGTATTGCGAATTAGTTTGCCAAAACACTCGGCAAATAAATAACAAACAAATTACCATTTAACATCCTCGAAATATCAAAAAGCACAACAAACCAGCCTGCAAAGGGTACACGCCCACCGAACAGCCATCACTCAACTCGCTTCACCCATCAACCCACGATCACCAACAAAGCTAGAACACAGCAAAAGCATCATCAACGAAAGCAAGTAAAACAAGAGCAAGCTTAACTTCATCACTCTTCATCTAGCACCCACTCGATCAGCACACACCAAACAGAACCATCATCATCATCATCAGTTCACCAAAGTACGTTCACCATCAGAGCCCTCCTCCATCAAGAGTCACGCAACATCGAGCAAAGTAGAAGCAAAAAATAATAAAAAAGAAAAAAAAAGAATCTGATTGCACGACTGGTCAATGGTGCGATGCGGACCGCGATCGAGAGTCCGACGAACGAAATAAATATAATACTAACAACGTCAGCTATTGTCACTGTATACAGAGGAATGACACGAAAGAGAGCGAGAGCGAGAAAGAGAGAGAGAGAGAGAAAGCAAGCTGACTTACTAACAGAATGGGCGAGTGTAAAGAGCGAGAGATGGTTATTTTGTTGAGCGAAAAGAAGAGAGTTGTCCGTGTCGTGCCAGTGACGACGTGCCCGAGTCAAGTCCATTGTGGGACGTTGACTGTTTCAGTTTATCCGCTCGACCGCAGGTCCGATGGCGGGAGAGGAGAAGGTGTGACTATCAGTCGTCCGCTCTGGATCCGCTCGACGAGAAACAGACCGTGGACGAGGAGCACAGGCAAACCGTGCAGCTGGTCGCCGCCAATCCCGTCCCCAATAGTCACGACAATCACGCGAGGGTGCTTGTGAAGTCGAACGATTCGTTCGACTGCGAGCAGACGCAGTGCTGATCATTCTGACTTGTGACACATGACTGATGACGAGGAACTGGGACCGTTGATCGAGAAGAGAAGTCATCAGTGAAGATCAAAGGATGAATAGAATAGTGGATTGGATAGCGAAGAAAATCGACGAAGAACAATCGCTGTAAAGAGCAGTCGTTGAAGATCAAAGAATAAACCGTTGTTTTATGGAAAGGATGTAGCTTGAAGATAGAGTCCCGAGTGAATTGTTGTAAATTATAGAAAAAAAGATGTTGTTGAGGATTATATATATATATATAGATTATGATGTTTTTTTAATGAAATAAAGAGTGTAAGGAAGGGAAGGTTGGTGATTAGATCAGTGGAGATAGGTTTGATTTACTAGATAGGGAGAATGAGTTAGGGTTTAGGAAATATTGAATGATATTTTGGAAAACGACGAGAACAATATTTTTCAAGAAATCCCAGAGTTAGTTTAAAAAGGAGAATATGTAATATTGTTTGAGAATTTTCATTGAGTCATACGAGGATTGAAGCTGTGAACGTATAATTTAGAAAGAGATATTCCTGGAGTAGCGTTGAAACGAAGAGAGGAGGAAATAAAGGATGCTTATACCTGTACGTGTATATTTCATTGTTAAAGTCTACATTAATGATGTTCGAGTTCTTAGAATTAGGATTTGCTGAGAGGATATTATGCAGTTCGTTACTTCGTAAACGGGTCTATTGTACAAATGTTTCTTTTATCCTGTTAAACGAGTCTCTAATTGTAAGATAATTTATTACGAGGGTTCATAAGGTTATTATATAAGAATTCTAAATCAATTGAGCCCTTCAAAGTGAGCTATGTGATTATCTTTCAAAAAGTTCATGCACAACGTTCGATATAAAAGCGTACAAATGTAGTTCAATTTTTCAAGGATATTTTTTTTTAGTTCAATTGAATCTCATTCTCAAGGGCTCAATTGTATATTGATTTTTTTCTATTTTTAATTAATAATATTTCAATGAAATAATCTTTCGTGAAACGCACATCATTATCAGGAAAATAACTTGGTAATCAACGGGTGTTTGCTATGTACGTAAAAGGGAAAAATTCTTGCGTTACGTTAATTGGTACAACGACTTCAATTTATGCACTATTATTTGGTCACGATAAAAATAACATAAAATTGGGTAATCCATAAAACGTATTAACATGTAATCTTTTGATATAAAAGAATGTGTTGTTTTTCCAAAGCAAAATTTGATTAAAGAAAACTTCGTTATTGCATAACTCTCAAACATTGTATAACTTACGTTTAAGTTAACATTTTTTTAATAAATTAAAAATATATTTTAGAAATACTAAGGTAATTAATTTAAATAAAAAAAATTTTTATTTAGCTTCTGAAAACAGATATTGCAATTCGTCATATCAAATTACATCACGTGATTTTTATACAAAATAGCAATTTTGTAGAATATATTCATCGTGAGGATGTACTTCCTGTCCATGCAAATATAGCTGAAAATGCGAGGAAATATACAAGTACTTCTAATGTATACAAATTTGCAATCTAAACTGTTAATAAAACTAATATTCTCCTTTCCCCTTCCCAAATTAACTATCTTTAATGAAAAGATAAACCTGTTTTAGTCATTTTAACATCTAGAAAGGAGAATTTCTGGAAAATTGGAAAACTTGATAAGGTCGATATACGTAAAAAGAACTAATGTTAAACGTTAAACGATACATATTTTCGTAATATTATTGCTAAAAATATTTTAGCTTTAATTAATACATATTACATGGACGGTTAAGAGGTCGACAAACGTAAATCAATATTCTTTCCTACGTTTTATAAATGTTTCGTTTAGCTACAACAGTAAAAAAGTAATTTGTATTGCACAATACAAATAAACATAAATCAGTAAAAATTAAACAAAAATGGTTTGTACGTTTCTTATATTAAAAGACTTAAAATAATTTCGTCCATTAAATTATAGTGTAAATGATAAATACTTAATAGAAATATGTTTGGTGGTAAAAATATGTGTACCTATAAATACATACTTAATTAAACACTTAAGTAAGTATATATCTATACTCAACAATGTATATAATTAAGAATAATTGAATATATATTTTTAAAACCAGACTACTTTTGCTATTTCTGGCAATATGAGTGCAGTAATAACACTTGATAAGAGATTTACACTATGATTATCCAAAACTTGTCTACCACTTATGTGTCTCACACCTTTTCCAGGATGTTCTACTATAATCCCTTTTTCATTTATTCCTATAATAAAGACATAATTCTTATTATACAGAGCACAAACAAATGTATTCTCTGTGATAATGCAGGATATCTTACCAGAATATTGCAATGTGGCTCCTAAGATAGAGTCTACTATGCTACCAAAGAAACCACCAATTCCTCCCATAATGATAATAGGCCATTGTGGTGCTGCTAATTGCAGTACGACTGTGTCTACAGTCATCAGTATAGTTATGTAATGAGACAAACCCACTGTCATACCACCAAGTAGAGAAACAAGCAGACCTACCCATGAGACACCACCATTTGTGCCTATAAATATAAATCAATTCTAATAGAGTAAATTTCATATGTAAATTTCTGTATATAGATTCTTCATAATTTGGGTAAACAACTTTTTTTTAAACTCTAATTACTCAACCAAGAACTTCCACATTGTATATTGATACTCACCTTTTGGAACTTTTTTTCTATTTGTAATCAGAAAAGGATCTCCACTACCAACAACTGATCCTATTTCTGATGCCCAAGTGTCTCCATTACAGCAGGCAAAAGCTCCTAAATTATAATTATAAATTATAAATGTGCTTTTTAAACTTGAATTTATATAGCCTGAAAATCTTTCCACTGAATATTATTAATGAATGTACCTAAAATTCCTACTGACAACCATGAACTCCTATAGTACTTATCAAAATCAACTGGTCTTTCTACACATCCTACATCCAATAAGTATAAAAACGCCAATTGTGTTGCCATGCCACCATTACACAGCACTTGAATCCAATTTCTTTGACCGCCTTCCTTATATTCCACTTCAAGTTTTTTCTTTAGATGAGAACGAAATTTTGTTGCTTTTGAAGAGGTAACAAAGAATGAGAAGAGGCAAACCATATGAGCGAAACTGGTAAGTGTCAGAACAAAACCCATGAATAATCCTGAAATATAATATTCAGCAGCTACTTTATAATGCATATAGGAACCAGCCAAGCAGAACTTGCACAAAATAATCACTGCGTACCTCTTTCTCTAAGTAATACAGTATAATACTTTGGTAAATATTTTGCATTTTACATTATACATTTTACTTGCCCATCTCATCATATTAGATAATGAACAAAGTACTTAACAATCACTCTAACAATTTTTTATAGAATATTTTCTTTTGTCTACAATGTATGTATAATGAAATTACATTTGATCTGCATTCTTTCGTTTTATAATATTTAAGGAAAATTGTATTACCGAGAATAGCACCGCTGACGTTCACGCTTTTCCTTTTCAAACCCCAAAACGCCATGAAAAGCGGCAACATAACCGCGATCAACCATCTCCATGGTGATACGACTGAATGATCTGCAGGAAAGGTTAAGGTTTACAAAACAATAAACGTAGTACTACTGAGGAACAAAAAGACGTTGAACTATTGCCGCTTTTTAACAAACCTTGTGCGTGATTTTCAGAATCTGAATAAAAAGTCGAATAAATCACATTTATGAACCAAAATAACATTGAAATTGGAATTGCACAGGCACTAAGAAGAACCGGCATTAATACATGCGACCGCTGATTCTCATTATTTTTCAATAAAGTCATAGTTAATATCGATATAAACACCAATTTGTGTTGAATTAATATATAAGTTAAAGGAAATATCGAATTAGTAGTTCAGTACAAGAAATATTTCGTAACAAGACGAGAACAGTTGTACATGTATTAATTTACAATCCCGTTTCGGTCGAGTTAATACCGGCTGTACAAACATTCGAGACCTACATATCGGCAACTGTCGGTAGAAAAAAAATATATTATACAGACAAGGTATAAGAATACATCTATTACCACAAACGAAGCACAATCACAGACGACGTACAGGATAGATCAAACACCTCATGTATTCTTGTGTCCAACGTTCTGAAATACCGATCGTGTAAATAATCAGAGGTTTTGTTATGTCCTCTACGATATCAAGCGATGAGTTTAGCAATTATGTACAATCCAACCATCGAAGATGGTAAAGTCTACCAACGTGTCTGATTAAATCCGCATGTAGAGGTATTTACACATATTGGATTGTGTGGGTAGAACTTTGCGGATCTCTTAACATCAATAGAACATGCGCATAGGATAAATCATCTACTAATGAAAAATTATGGTTTCATATTTTTTATTACAGTATAATGAGAATTCTTTATGAGGTTAGTTTCGAAATCTTCGCCTAATTTTCGTAGTTTTCGTTAGAATTTCGTAGGGAGTATAATAAAGTTTCTGATTCATTTTCAAGTACTTTAATTATAGAGTAATTAGCGTTTCGTGGTAAATAACAATGTAAATGGTAATTTATAATTATTGGAAGTATTAAATAAATTCGTTGCACGCTTTAACTTAATAAAACAGCTGAATATACTGCTATTTCATTGAATTAACCAATGTATTCGCTAGATTAGTCAAAAATTGTTTATAATTTTTATTAAAAATTGGAAAAATTAATGTTCTTTTTGTGTGAATTGCAGATGGAACCTTCAGGCTGCCGCAGGAATCCAGAAAAGGGCTTCAACATCAGAAGAACTGAAGAAATGCAATTATTTATTGAAAAATCAATTATTTATTGTAAAATTATTATTAAAATGTATTTTACAAAAGGTTACAATATACCAGTATTGTTTTACAGCATTTTACAGTCTATTTACTCCTCCCATATACACCACATTGATTTCCTTTGCAAAAACCTCATTATTTAAACAATATATCATTGAAAAATTAAATAAACAGTGCAATATGTATTTTACAAAAGGTTACAATATTCCAGTATTGTTGTACAGCGTTTTACAGTCTATTAACTTCTCCTTTACACACCAAATCCCTTTCCTTTTGCAAAATAACCCATTGTTTAAACAATATTACATTGCAAAATTGAATAAATGCATGCCAGAAACCTCCAGGAATGAGTTTCCATCGAGAAAATCGAAAAAATCCCGAAATTCTAGCGAAAACTACGAAAATTAGGCGAAGATTTCGAAAATCGCGCGAATACACTCGTTCGGTGCTAAGGTCCTCGAGAATTCCTGGAATTTACGTCATTTCTCGGAAATGACCAAATTTCCAAGAATCGAGGCGATTCCAAGAATTGACCAATGGGCCTTCGAAAATGTCGGTTCCCGAGAATTCCTGGAATTTTCGTCATTTCTCGGAAATGACGTGATTTCCAAGAATCGAGGCACTTCCAAGAATCGACCTCCTGTCACATCATGTTCGCCTATTAGAAAGTCGATTTTCGGCCAAAAATTTTCGAAAATCGAAAATCCTTACTTTGTACTAGGCGAATATGATATGACAGGAGGTCGATTCTTGGAAGTGCCTCGATTCTTGGAAATCACGTCATTTCCGAGAAATGACGAAAATTCCAGGAATTCTCGAGAACTGAAATTTTCGAAGGCCATTTGTCAATTCTTGGAATCGCCTCGATTCTTGGAAATTTGGTCATTTCCGAGAAATGACGTAAATTCCAGGAATTCTCGAGGACCTTAGCACCGAACGAGTATATTCGCGCGATTTTCGAAATCTTCGCCTAATTTTCGTAGTTTCCGCTAGAATTTCGGGATTTTTTCGATTTTTTCGATGGAAACTCATTCCTGGAGGTTTCTGATATGAATTTATTCAATTTTGCAATGCAATATTGTTTAAACAATGGTTTTTTTGCAAAAGGAAAGGGATTTGGTGTGTAAAGGAGAAGTAAATAGACTGTAAAATGCTGTACAACAATACTGGTATATTGTAACCTTTTGTAAAATACATTTTAACAATAATTTTACAATAAATAATTGTTTTTTCGATAAATAACTGCATTTCTTCATTTCTCCTGATATTGATGCCCTTTTCTGGATTCCTGCGATAGCCTGAGGGTTCCATCTGCAATTCACACAAAAAGAACATTAATTTTTCCAATTTTTAATAAAAGTTATAAACAATTTCTGACTAATCTAGCGAATACATTGGTTAATTTAATGAAATAGCAGTATATTCAGCTGTTTTATTAAGTTAAAGCGTGCAACGAATTTATTTAATACTTCCAATAATTATAAATTACCATCTAAATTGTTATTTACCACCAAACGCTAATTATTCTATAATTAAAGTACTTGAAAATGAACCAGAAACTTTATTATACTCTCTACGTTATTAGTGATGTTAAAACAATTAAATTTGATTATAAGTATCACTTAAACATAAGAGGGATGACGAGGATAACAATAGCGAAGAGAGACAAGGAACTGAATAGCAGTTAACAAGAATAGCACTAGAGAAATGAGTATGTTAAGAAGGGGAATAGTGGTAAATAAGGGTAGCGCTAAAGAAACGAGTTAAACAAGGAAAGGAATAGGATTAGAGAAGGATAAAGAATTTTTTAAACTAACACCATCTCGTGTTTGGCTGCGGGAACTAACGGCTCGTTACTCGGAACATAGGATATAAACAGAGGTATTAGACAAGGAACGCACTGCTGTGCGAGAAGGACAGAGAGAAAACGTTTCCTATTGGTCCGCGGGCCGCCATGGTTCATCTCCCAGGCCACAAGTCATGTCGGTCGGTGAAAAATCATTAATAACTCATTATTTATGATAATTTTGTGCACTTTTAGTATTGAAGAATAAAGTATAAACCTCTAGCAACTTTCTCATATAGGTTTGAAGGCTCTAGATCCTTTCAATAATTAGTTATTAAGAATTTTCATGCGGAATGTCAGAAACAATACGACATGTCGTGACAGTCCCTTAAAATTTTTCGTTACTTTCGTACTTTAACCCGTATAATTCATGCACTTTGATACATTCATTGGAAAGCCTGTTCCTTTAGTTAGTTTCTCGTGTAATTTTTATTAACATTGCGACTGCAGGTTACGAGTTATTAAACATTATATGGCAGAGTGCACCGCTCAGCGTACCCGGGTGAGCTCAACTGTTATAAACAATTGCTAATATTTAATAAACCACATGACATACGCTTACCAAAATTATCGCAGAATGTAAAGGAAAGTCCGTACTACATTCTACAATCTTAAAAGTATACAAATAATTGTACAATTCCATTAAATTCCATTAAATTGACAGAAGAATGTCACGCCTGAATTCGACGAGTGTAGCATTCTCCCGAATAATGTTTAATAACTATCGAACTACAACGTATATGTTACTGAAAATTATAAAAGAATGTAGCCACTGATGCTCCCTTCCAGATGTATATAAAGATTGTACAGGGAATTGATACTAAACAATGATATTAATGAAAAACTGTAAAGGTCTGTCTTATCGTTCCCGACAATTCGCACAACAAATATTAATAACTAATTATTCAAAAGACCTAGGACCTTCAAACCTATATGAGAAAGTTGCTAAAGGTTCACACTTCATTCTCCAATTCTAAAAGTTCACAAAATCATCGTAATTATTGAGTTATTAATGATTTTTCACCCGCCGACTTGACGTAGCGTCTAGATGGCGAAGCATGGTGGCCCGCTGGCCAATAGGAAACGTTTTCTCTCTATCCTTCTCGCACAGTAGTGCGTTCCTTGTCTAATACCTCTGTTCACATTCTGTGATCCTAGTAACGAGTCGTCAGTTCGCGCAGCCAAACACAATATGGCGTTAGTTTATTCAAAAATTTTCTATCATCGTCTAACCCTATTCTTTTCCTTGTCTAACTCATTCTTTCAGTGCTATCCTTGTCTAACTTGTTTCTCTAGCGCTTTTGTTTTAATTACTTTATTACAAATTACAGGTAGACATTCTAAGGTATTATAGGAATTAAGGAAAGAACTTGAACATCAGGAGAAATGAAGAAATACTATTTAAGAAAAAATCAATGATTTATTATAAGATAATTGTACAAAATGTATTTTACAAAATGTTACAATATACCAATATTATATCAACAGTTAATAGTGTTCTAAATTTCCTTTGAATAACTTTAACGTTCAAGAGTAGAATACGTAATATCGATTAGGGATGTAGAGGTTAAGAAAAGGAAAATTCAGGTGTTGAAAGCAATTTATTATTTATTTTCAGCAATAATTTAATTTGAAATAATTTGTCTTTAATGAACGTTACAATGATTTAATATTAAAATGTAAAATAATGTGCATATTTGTACAAAATTTGACGCATATTGCTGTTTATACATATATGTACATATACCAACGTTACAAACAATTTTTTATTGGGTGTTTTATATAGTTTTTAACTTTTATAAAAGAGTAACATATTTATTATATTTTTAGCTGTTTTTATTGTAAACAATGTTGTAGAAAGAATAAAGGTAGTTGTTGGAAATTAACTCTTGCGGGCAAGCAACGTTCATTGCCTTGTGTAGACGCTGACAGGAACGCTTTTTCTTTTTAAATCTCACGAATTTTGTCTGTCTCCATGTGTAATGTATAACGTTGTTACGCTGTTTAATAGTCGCTCCTTTATTCTTTTATATAAATAAACCAATAGGTTATGGACCCAGAACGCGCCATATGAAGTGAAAAATAATTGGTAAATATATATTTTACGCAAATCGATTGAATAAAGAAAGACCAGTAACCTAACCTGTCAGGCAAACCCACGTGGTTGAGCCGTATAAAAATTCTGCGCACGTGTATCGATCGAGCGTGGTAAATCTTAATAGTAAGCGCAAAACAGTTATATTTGCTGTGTAAGTACATTAAACGATGGCAACTCAGAATCTAAGCATAGAAAAATTGGGTAAGAACAATTTTGATAGTTGGAAATTGCAAATGCAAGCGATCCTAGTGAAAAATGAAGCAAGAAACTGGGACGAAAATGATCCGAATCGGCTGAATTGTGCCATATAAAACATTGTAGGACATCAAACCAAGTGTGAATTAAATTAGAAGAGGTATATTAATTCAAAGGTCCTGCTCATAAAGCCACATTACTCAAACATTTGTTATTTACAAAGATGAACGAAGCTGATAATATCTCCACCACAGTTGATAAGTTAAATGGGATGGATGTCAAGGTAGCAGATGATTTATTAAGTATTTTGTTGCTTTATAGTATACCTAATATTTTTGTAAATTTCCAAAGAGGGGGTGTTGGAAATGAACTCTTGCGAACAAGCAACGTTCATTGCCTTGTGTACGCGCGGAGGAACGTTTTTTTTTTTTAAATCTCACCACTTTTGTCTGTCTCCATGTTTAATGTATAACGTTGTTACGCTGTATAATAGTCGCTCCTTTGTACTTTTATATAAATAAACCAATATAAAATCAATAGTAGTACAATTAAAATGATGCAAATTTAATGAAAACGCCGAAGATTACATTGAGGTATATACAAAATGAGCTTAATTTAATCGATAATGATAAATGAAGTCGTAAGAAACATGAATAACCGAATGCTTTCGTTTGCCGCATATGACTATGTACAATATATGTACGCAACGTAAAGAGTACAGTACTTGACATATGTGCTGACATATCAACGAAATTGTATTATTTTGTACCTCTTCTGTTTGGAAAGATGTACCAAATATTAAAATACAATATCCGCATAACAATTTCGTTGCGATACATACGATTGGAATTAATTGTACTAACCGTGAAGTAAAATATTTCAATGAATTAGAAAATTCTTACTATCACGACGGTGATATATCGAAGCATGTACAATTGAATAATGAGCGGCTTAATAACTGTATCCTATGTATATCCTTAGACAAATAATTCCATTATGTTTATAACAGTTCTGAAAATGTGTGGTTTCCAGCTGAATAAATGTAACAGTTACAAATGTTTTTTTTGCAAATATTTTTCAATTTTTATCACACTTACGGTATTTTATCACTATGAATAACGAATACGGTTGTTGCACGCGAAAATGTTTGAAAGTAAACCGCTGAACATTATATCATTAAATATATAAACGATACACCGTATAATTAAAATGAGATAACTATTTCATAAAAAAAACTTCAACCACGAGTTAGGAAGCAAAGAGATAACAGTTCACTTGCCGCGATAATCGGAAGCAAAAAATATTACAGGAAGAAATTAATATTATCATTACGCGACAAAAAGAAAATGATAGGAAAAAATACATTTTTCACATCATTGAAAGTAACTAATTTTTTGTTGATCGTTTAACGTAATATAAATTACATGATAAGCTTTTAGCATTAAATGTATAGACAATATCGATAATGCAGTTTTTAACAATTCGGAGATAGCGATCTCAATTATTTAAGGATACCACCGCCCTTTGTGATTCTTTTAGTATCGAACACAACATGAAAAAAAAAAAATGGAAAAAAAAAGAAAGAATAAAGAATCCAAGCAATGATCCGACACGATGTAGACAAAATAAGTTTTTCTTATACCTTAAGTTACGACTAAAAATCGCGTTAGAATGAACAAGTTTGACCTGTAATAAATGATACAGGTCACATGGAGAAGCGAATTTCCCGATTCGTCCAGTATAATTATAATGCAAATCACTTTTTTTTATCAGTGTTTGAGAAGTGTAAAATATATATAAATTTTTACTATCTTTATATCTTGTCATATTTATCACCGTGTAGAGCTAGCTAGCGTCTAACCGTTATTTTTTTCTTCTTTTATTATATAATCGTTATAAGACATTATATAAATATTTTATAAATGGAGGAATAATGTTACACTATTTACAAAAGTATGATCGAAAACTGCTTATAAACGGAGAACTAAATAATGCAAAATATAACACATATAGTTGCATTTTTCTTTTACTGTTAACAGTCTCAGAGTTTGCATTTTATTTCCTTGTTTATTGTGTTTATTTGAAATTCGAAATTAACGTAGTTATTTGAGTTTCTATAACTTATTATCGAAACCGTCTCAGTATCATCTGTAGGACTTGTCCTACGTATGTTTTATTATGGTATAAAGAAAAAAAAGAAGAATGAAAAAACGGTAGTTTTAGAAGTAAAAGTATCATGGAAAAACACCATGTGGTTTCTGCGATTCGTGAAAAATTTCAACCCTTCTTTACTATAGCTTACAAAAATGTATGTTACACTATCACACCGTTAAAAAGCTGTTCCTACGTTATAAATCGTTTGAATATCATATTAAATGTACATAGGTCCTCTCTTTTATTTCTAATCACTTATTACTCGATTTCTGCAGGTAGAATGTGGCATTTTATATTTATATAAATACATATATGTCATATATCGTACATTTGGCGTTTAATAAATCTATCATACATTTCGACAGTGTATAAGTACCAGAACGAAAAAGCTTTTCTTTCGCTCGATTATTCTCCATTGTCTGTAAACATTCGATCTAAATTTTATCCCATTAACTATCGTGAGAAACAATGTTAAAAATAACTCCATTAACCATGCACGAAAAAATGCCACACTCTAAACATAATAATTCATATTTGTACTTGTCATAAATCATACACGAGGAGTATTTATAAATGCTCGTTAAATATAATTCACTCTTACATATATTCAATGATACTGAATGTATTAACAAGAGAATGTATGCTATTATGTCATGTAATTCGATCTAACTTAATAAATATAAACCTGAATATCAAACAGAATGAAGGAAATTACCATGTTAATAACAATTTTCTGGTTAACATCAGGAAATATCTTTCGTTTGCATATTTTCCTCAAAGTATGAAAAATGATCGTGAAGTATGAAACTCCGAGTATGAAAATGATTTCAAATTATATACGCACGTAGTGACTAAAAAACTTACATGATCACGTATTATCACTGCACGGTCTCTCTACAACACAATTGTTAAAGACTAAATTTCTAATTCATACCTTAAGAAAGTGTTATACTGTCTTCTGGAACTATGCTTTCTAATGGTACAGATTCCGCCAATCCACGGGCTATTAATTCATCGGCAAGAGATATCACCTGCGATATGTGAACAAATTTAGTGGATAATACATATTAGTTCCAAGAGATTCATATAAGTACAAATATAATTGATTGATTAATTATTAAAGAATTTTTATTTAAAAACAACGTTTACTCACCCCATGGTTATGAATATTAAGAAATAAATTAACATATGTGCTCGTATTGATGTAGCCTTCGATTTGAGCTTGACCAACAATTCCATAACACATATGAGCAACTACATTAAGAGCCTCTTGCGTCCACTCACCTAATATACAAAGTAACATTGCACGTTCATTTACCGATTTACACAAGAAGAAAATGCATACTTACCGTTTTTCGGTTGAACATTCGCCAGGAATATTTCAATTGCTTGGAACGGTAGAGTAAGATAATCTGATCTAATTTTTTTCATTTCTGCATTACTAAATTGCCAATAGCCTCCGTGATCAACGAGTCGTACTAAATGTTGTTCTCCATGAGGATCTGGTTGTTCAACGCATACCCTTACCCAATTATTGTACCATTTTGCAACTAAGATCATACCCTCTGTAAATTAAAATAAACAGAGTTAATCGAATAATTATTTTCAGTCTAATTTTAGGCTCGAGTGATTATTTATAAAATTATTTTCATCTGCAAGACTGTTTGAGTCTTA